GCATACACCCCGTGTGTGCACCCCAGGCGTGTGCCCCGTGCGTATACCCCATGCATACACCCTGTGCACGCACCCCAGACATGCACCCCGTGCATATGCCCCGTGTGTGCACCCCAGGCGTGCACCCCATGCGTGTGCCCCAGGTGTGCGCCCCGTGCGTGCAGTGACAGCTTCATATGCTCTGTGTCCAGCGAGTCCGGCACAGCGCCCACCAGTGGATTTTGGAGTCTCTCGGCCTGGGTCACCGTTCTGGCCTTTCCTTCCTTTGCTTTTCCTCTTGCCGGCTTTGTAACTTGGCACAGTGCCTCCCTTCAGGCCTCAGAGTCTGTGTCCATGAGGGGGGGTGACCACCATGCCATGTCACGGCGCTGCGTGAACAGCAGATGGGTCTGTACACGTAGAGTATCTGCATGGTGCGCGGTAAGAATTCAGGCATCGGGCTCACGTCAGTGTTACTGTGGTCACATCACAGTAACATCATTTGGGTGGGTGCGTTGTTCTGTGACAACATGTCCTGAATGCAAAAATGCTGTAGTAAATCCTGGTGCTGGCGGAGGAAAGGGCACTTTCCCGAGACTTGGCCCTTTGGCTCTCCAGATGTTCCTGAGTTGACAGCTTCTGGAACTGGAGGTTGCCTCCATCTGACGGAAGCAGGGATCTTTGTAGTCGTGCTTGCAAAAGCCTTCAGTGGGAGATCATGGTGCCGAAGCCTTGGAGGTGTGGTGGCCATTTCTCTGTTAAATCATGGGAGTAGAAATCATCCCAGATGCTTACCACTTACTTGACGGCATTTATTTCCCATTGGTGTGGATTTGAGCTTGGCTCGTGTACCAAACTGTAGATGTGTTCATTGAAACTTAGACAAGATACGTCTTCAGGTGTCACACAGCATGATGGCCTAAGAGTTATCTAACGTTTACCCAGGTGGGACCAGAGCGACAGGTGAGCAGCGGGTGCACACGCCGTCCTGGTGAAGCCATTGGCCATTGGGAACATTCCTCCTGAGGCCGAGCTCGTGTGCACCTTCTGTCGTCCGTCTCAGGTCTTTCTGTGATTTGCCTCTGATTGCAGGATTAGCCACACACAGCTACATATTATCTTCCTTCTGTATCTCTGAGCACAAAGACTCTGCATCCTGAGAATTGCCTTGAACCTGGAGGTTGACGGATAGGTCCAGCGTCCTCTCTGCCGTTGCTCAGCTTTACTGTGTCTGATCACGAAAGCACATCTTTTTGAAATCCCTGGGAGTTCTCACCAGGGTCATTTTTTCACTTCCTCACCTAGTTTAATCTACTTGGACTTTTTATTTCCTAGGAAGGTGTTAATGGAGCAAAAAACAGGCTGATGTGGTTAATAATCAAGGGAATGCAAACCGAAACAGTAGTGAGGATTGGCTTTTACCCATCAAGCCAGGAGCAGTTTTAAGGTTGATGACAGTGTCGTCCTGGGTGTGCGGAAGCAAGACCGCCAGGAGGCGGCCTTCCCCACAGCCAGAAGCACAGGGATTGAGGCTGGTGTGAGCTTGACGCCTGGGTCTGCCCCACAGCTGTGCCTCGGGGCCGCCCCGCCTCTGTTCTCTCTGCTCTTGCCTGTGAATGGAGAGGATGGGCACGCCTGTGTCACAGAGCTGCTGGGAAGAATACTTCACATACATGAAGTGCTTAGAGCAGCCTCCTGCATGAAACAGTGCAATACGCATGTCTGGTAAATCAAGAAATAATCCTTTTAGTGGAAATGCAAAACGATACGGTGTTTGGGAAGTTGTTTAGGCTTCATTCAAATTTTAAATGTAGTCTTTGATTCTTCAGTTCCTTTTCTAGATGTGTGTCTTACAGTAATATTTCTAATTATATAAAAGTGAAATTAAATGATCACATGTCCTTGTTACTGATACCATCTGCAGTTAAGACAGTCGGTTTATTGTGTGCAGTACACATCCTGCGTGTGTCACACACATTCACACGCGGGAGGATCCACAAGATCCACTCGGGGGAAGAGCAGGTTGTAGAAGGATATGCCTGTTCTGGTTCTGCTTTTCTTGGAGTACAGATGTATCTGCATGCGCACGTTTTAGTAAGTGCACACAGAAGAGCTGGGAGGGTCTCTGGTGGTGGCCCCCTGTGAGGCAGGGGTGGGTGGGCTGGGGACACACCTGTGACTGTGACTTCCGTTGCCGTGCTTGACTCCTCCATGGAACGACTTGCTCGTGTTTCACACACATCATTGGTTCTAAAGTTTCCTCAAAAGAAAAGTGTGCAGTGAACTAAGGGGTGCTGATGTCTGAGGCCAGAGGTGGGAAAGGTATTGGGAAAGGGGACGGGCTGGTGTCCCATGTCTGGGCACGGGCTCTGCTGTGGGTCTGGATCCCTCCAAGCCCCACAGGATGCAGACGACTAGGTTCACATCCCTGTGCCCCCGTTACTGATCTATAAAGTGGTGCCAGGCAGGTTTGCGTATCGCTGAGCCCATGTATGTGGACAGCTCGGGACAGTTGGGCACAGAGGTGTCCGTGGAGCATGGCTCTGTCGTGGGAGGCGGGGCTGCCCACGAGCAGTTCCTGCATGAACGCTGAGACATGGAACCGGAAGGCTTTGCCTGGCAAGGTGGCTGATGAGCCCAGGACCATGTCCCAGGGACTCACATGCTTCTCTTCTGCATTTTTAAGTGTCCCTTGTCTGCAAAGGAAAGAATCCAGGGCTCTGAGTTTTCTCTGACCAGCGAGGGACTCTATTAAATGCAAGTGCTTAGCAGCAGAAGTAATGCAAGATGGGTGTCTTTGGTTCACATTTTAAGTGAGTCTACCCAGTTTTCCATAGTATCATTTTATAAACGTAACTGAAGACCTTGTAGCAAATGCAGTCCAGAATTGGGCTCCAGTGAGTCTTGCTTCTCACTTGCTGTTCTGGAACGTAGGGAAGCAGGTCTCGTCACTAAGGCAACAGAACTTGCGTCCTTGAATCTTGAAGCCTTTCCCTCCCAGCGCTCGCGGGCAGCTCGTCTCAGTCGCTGCCTGCCCCTTACTCATGGCCACTCCTTCATTCTGCTTCCATGTGGCTTTCCACAACAAATGACGTGCACCTTTGAACCCTGTTGCTCGGTGTGTCTGTGTCCCGGGGCTGTCGTAAGTGCCTTGGGCTGGCGCATGGAAACGGGGAAACTGTTGTCTCGGGTCTCAGGGTGTCTGCCGAGCAGGTGCTCCCAGACGCTCTGGCCGAGCGTCTGCTTCAGGCCCTCCCGCTGCTGGTGCCCCGTCCGTGGCTCCGTGGCTGGAGACACGGCACCTCATGGCCTCTGTGTCACACGCCGTCTGTGTCTCCTCCTCTCATAAGGACACCGGTCATTGGATTGGGGTCTGTCCCACTCCGTCCAGTAGGACCTCATCTCAACCAACAACCTCTGCAAAGACTCCCTTTCACACTAATAAGGTCACAGTCGAGGTCATAGGTTTTGGAGACACAACCCACAGTGAGGACCAAGCCTTCTGATCCCTGACTGTCACGTTGCATTTTGCTGAGGACAGAAGCGTGGGGTCGAGAGTCCCGGGGGCACGGGGTTCCCGTGGGGCTCCTCCTTTCATTTTAGAGAGCAACTTAGGTTCCAGTGTTTGGGGCTCTTTCCAGGTAGCTCCACATGGACCTTCTAACTTGGGCAGAGTTTTCTTCTATGTCTGGTTAGTTCTACCTTTTTGTTTCTTAGCAGATGGAACAATTCAATTTCCAGACTCTCTTATGCTTCCTTTTTATTATTATTTATTTTTAGTTTTTATTTAAGATAGAATTGACATATAGCATAGGCTTCTTTTTTAAACACACCAGTTACTTGATTCAAATGAGACCGCCTTTTGCACATTTTAACTTTTACGTTTCCCTATTTATGTTTTTAGGCTCATTTTAAATCTTGATACTATTTTGAAACCAAACAGCAAACTTCTGTTTATCCTCCAACTTTTAGATCCTAAAGCAACGCTACACATGCGTGTATAGAAAGTTACAGGAACAAGCGTGGTATTCACCTAAATTGGCTCTCACTTAGCTCATAGCTCACACACAAGGGTCTTTAGCCACAGGGATAAAGTCCATGATCTTAGAAAGATTTCATCTGTTCAGTAGTCGACAGACTACCTCTCCAGGAGAAAGGATGCAGCAGTGAACAGAGGGAAACCCACTTGCCCTCAGGAAGCTGAGACTGTTGGACAAGGCACCTGCTGTGCAAACAGGAGTTGGGGGTGAGCTGTTTTATGGGGTGAGGAGTCCTTGCACATGTGAGCTGCCCCAGAGGGCAGTGAGGGGGATGGCTGCTACAAGAACATTGCAGGTAGAGAGGCAGGAGCAGGTACAGAAAGCCCCAGGAGGGAGAGGGCTGGGTCCTGGAGAGACAGCAGGGGCAGCGTGGAGTGAGCGGGAGGCCTGGGGCTCACGGGCCATGGAGGAGACAGAGGCAGTGAAATTGTACTTCTTCCCTGACCCTACAGCATCCTACAGAACACCTCTCAGCCAAAACCTGCCCTAAGAGCTTGTCATCCAGCACAGCGTCACATGACTCTCTTTTCAGATTCTTACCCGTGGTGTGCGTCTGCACAGGGCACATCCGACTCGAGGCGGGACCCGCAGAATCTCCACCGGTTCTGCTCCCTGCAGAATCTCTTCTTGGAGACCTTGTTCTCCGTGTTTATCCACTTGCCACACTGGAAAATCTGACCAGGAGAGAGACGGGCAGAGAAGGAATCAGTCAGTCTACTGACTGGAGGTCTTCACACCCCTAAGGTGTTTTTAAACTATCCTGGAAGCCTGGAGGTAGAGTTAGTGACACGGACATCTTGTGGACAGAGCAGAAGCATTCCCCGGCGAGCTAGAACACAGGGCGGTGTGGCGTGCAGGTCTGCGTTCGGGGGTCCATGGGACCCCAACATGGCTGGCTGCCTTTGGTGTGTGTCCTTGGGTGGCTCTCTGGCCACGGCAGCCTGTTTGCTTCCGCGTGTTCAGACAAAACTGCTCTTTCAGGCCTACGGATGACAGCAACCAGCCTCCGGGCCGGGGTGTCCTTTCCATGCACGGGCTGACCTATGGCGTCATCCGGGTGGACTCGGAGGAAAAGCTGTCTGTGCTCACCGTGCAGGACGTCGGCCTCGTGATGCCTGGCGGTGAGTGTGGGCACTGGGCTGCCCGTGGCGTGGGGCGTTGAGGTGGGAACCCCGGCTGTGGCCGGTGGGCTGGTCCGTTAGCACATGCCCTCCCGCCCGGCACCCCCGTGCCCCTCTGGCATGAACGCAAACAGGACGCTTAAATTCCGCTGTGCATCTTTAAAGCTTTGTGGTAATGCTACCTCTCCTGGTGACAACATTCAGGAAGCCTCCGCGGGCGTCTCTGCCCCCTCTCACGCTGGGACCCCAGAGTCCTCCTCCTCAGGGGCACCGTGGGCCCTGCTGCACCCCTGCAGCCCCTGAGAGGCTCCTCCCCCTGCAAGGCTTCTCTTTCCACCAGCCATCCTGGCACGCTGGAGAAGGCTAGGCACCCAGTCTGGCTGCGGACGACATAAAAACCCATCCGTGGGGCTCTGGATGACCAGTAGTGCTCACTTGCAGAAGAGTCTGTTCTTAAAAGTCATGGACCTTTTCCACAAATGTGCACATGTGCTGTGGTCGGGGCACGGCCAGCCATCGCTGGCCGCACACCCCACCTCCCGAAACCCCGGCTCCAGCTCTTGCACGGACTTGAGGTCTGTGGCAGGAGCATGGGGCATGTGCAGTATGAAAGCACCCGAGCAGCCAGGACCCTGGGCTTCCTCCACGTGTCCTCCTCGGTCTGGACGGCAGAGGTCACTCCCCTTAAATACGATCCACACGTCAGTTATTCACTGATGTCACAACAATGGAACGGGACGTTTTACTATAACATGAAAATCCGGGACTCACTTTAGGGAAAATGATATATTGTATATTCGCAGTTATGTTCCAGATGCTGTTTCCTGTTGACCGGCTCTCACTCCTACTCGGTCATTTATTCCTTGTCCCCCTGTCCATCCCTGTCTGTCTGTCTCTGTCCCCCCGTCCCTCTGTCTCCCTCGCCCTCCGTCCCTCTGTCTGTCTCCCTCGCCCTCCATCCCTCTGTCTGTCTCCCTCACCGTCTGTCCCTCTGTCTCCCTCGCCGTTCGTCCCTCTGTCTGTCTCCCTCACCATCCGTCCCTGTCTGTCTGTCTCCCTCACCGTCTGTCCGTCTGTCACCCTCACCGTCCGTCCCTCTGTCTGTCTCCCTCACCGTCCGTCCCTCGGTCTGTTGCCCTCGCCGTCCGTCCCTCTGTCTGTCTCCCTCGCCGTCCGTCCCTCTGTCTGTCTCCCTTGCCCTCCGTCCCTCTGTCTGTCTCCCTCACCGTCCGTCCCTCTGTCTGTCTCCCTCGCCCTCCGTCCCTCTGTCTGTCGCCCTCACCGTCCGTCCCTGTCTGTCTCCCTCGCTGTCTGTCCCTCTGTCTGTCGCCCTCGCCGTCCGTCCCTCTGTCTGTCTCCCTCGCCGTCTGTCCCTGTCTGTCTGTCTCCCTCGCCGTCTGTCCCTCTCTCTAACATGACCCCTGCCTCCTGTTTTGCTTCCAGCCATCATGTGTTCGGTGAAGCCGGATGGCATCCCTCAGCTTTGTCGAACAGATGAAATCGGGGAGCTCTGCGTGTGTGCCATTGCAACGGGCACGTCCTACTACGGCCTCTCGGGCATGACCAAGAACACCTTCGAGGTAGGTTCGAGGGGCGCGCTCCCTCCAGGTGAGCTCTGCAGGTGGCCCTCACAGGTATGCAGACGTAAAGAGAAGGTGGCAGTATCTCGATAACACATATTCCTCATAACTAAAATGGTCGCACTTTTTGCTGCCAGTTTTATAATTTTCAGTAAATTTGGCTTATCAGAGCTGTGTGGGAAAAGGGCAAGAATCGTTTCTTAAAAGGGGCCATTTTTTATATGTTGCTGTTCTCAGCCGAGAGGCTGAGGGATGGAGGACACCTGTCTCGGCCTTGCTGGGGCCCCCTGTGGCCTACCCACGGAGGCCGGACTTGGCAGGTGTGAACAGATGCACACGGCAGGAGCTGGTTGTGTGCGAGGAGCCTGCATGCGTGTATGGCTTGCGCTTAGTGCCCGCACTGGCCTCGCACATGCGCGGTTCAGCAGTGAGCTCCTTGCCACACCGCCATGCTCCTGGAGTTGACACCTCACCTGCCCAGGTGGTGCCTTACCTTAGGAAAAGCACACGTTGATTACATCACGCCCGAGAAATGGGGGTCGTTTGGGATTCGTCCCTTACAGTTTAGAACATGATGTAATGGGGTGCCTTGTGCCGGCGCCTTTGCTGAGTGTGGATTCGAGTTTCTAAAATGTCCCTGAAGCCTAGCTAGACAGAGTCTGCATGAAACCCATCTCCCCTTCTGTGTGACTTACCTGCAGGGTCTGAGGACCGGGTGCAGGCTCGGGGCACCGAGATTTGCTTCCTTTGTGTGTTTCCTTCCTGGTGTCATCCTGATAGGGAAACACTGATGAACAGGGATCATTTTCAACTGATACACGTGTTCGGTTTTCCATTTATCACTTTGATGCTGTGGATCTAAAACGGGAGAATTAATTAGTGTTCATTAGGCTATCATAATGATCTCTGGTATCACTTCTTAGGTTCAGAAGCCCTGGAAGGAAACCAGTGGGCAGCCCTGCATGTGGGCAGTAGGGGACAGAAGTTGGAGGGCGGGGGACGGGGGCAGTGCCTTCCACGAGGAGATGCCGCTAGACTAACATGGTCCGGTCTGTTCCAGGGGAGGGTGAAGGTGGGCCGAGCACCACCCCCCCCCGCCGGGCACTCACAGCTCGTGTGTCTGCAGGTATTTCCCGTGACGAGCTCGGGGGCCCCCGTCAGTGAGTACCCCTTCGTAAGGACAGGCCTGCTGGGCTTTGTCGGCCCCGGGGGGCTCGTCTTCGTGGTGGGCAAGATGGACGGGCTTATGGTGGTCAGCGGACGCAGACACAATGCGGACGATATTGTTGCCACGGCGCTGGCCGTGGAGCCCATGAAATTCGTCTACAGAGGAAGGTAGGTGTGCCCTCTGTGAATTCAGCACTCGGTGGTTTGCATATACAATTGCACAAATTCCTCAAGCTGATGGGACTCCATGACCTCTGACGTTCCAACTAGTTCTGAATGTCCAGTTTTATAGAAATTTCCTGAGCTCCATACATATGTTTTCATCACTTCACGTCTATGTTAAGTAAAAATATTTATTTAAAAAGCTTATTTTTAAAGTAAATACGCAAAGAAAAGAGCCAAATATTCATCTTGGTGCAGATCATCTCAAAAGACAGAAAGGTAACAGTCGAGCAACAGATTGTGCGGGAAAACGGAGTCCTGCGGCTTCCCCTCCCTGACGCACCCCTCCCTTGGTCGCTTGCACAGTACATATTAAATCAGTGATGCTAGCTCCTGAGGTTTTGCTAATTTGGAGGAAGTCATTAACTGTTTAAAGTCTTATTTCAGCTTGTCAGGCTGACAGGCGGAGAAGCGGTAGACACTTGGGTATCACAGACAGAGCTCACTGTTGAGGTGCAGCCTCTGTGTGAGGGGGGGCATGGGGGTCCAAGTCCCACGATGCCGCCTTTACCGAGAGAGACAGGCACGTCCAGCAGAAACCCACTCATCCCAAACAGAACGTCCCTACTGATGTGGAGAACAGGACCTCACAGGTGCAAACTCAAGATGCGGGTTGTAGGGCTTCCTGGATCTCAGCCCACCCTGTGGTGTGGGCACCGTCAGCTGCAGGCAGCCCCGGCAGGAGATGCTCGGCTGCTCCTCGCCCGGTTCCCATTCCAGAGCAGTGGCTACAAACTCCTGATTGCAGAACGATACTTCCCGGAATCTGCAGCGTGCCCACTGCGCTGTACCCTTCCTGTCCCCACAGGATAGCCGTGTTTTCAGTGACCGTCCTGCACGACGAGAGGATCGTGATTGTGGCCGAGCAGAGGCCGGACTCCACGGAGGAGGACAGCTTCCAGTGGATGAGCAGGGTGCTCCAGGTAGCTCTTCACCTGCCCGGGAGTCCCGCTCCTGCTTTCATACCAGCTTCCCTTAACCATCTGTTAGGATGTGGCCGACCCTCAACAACTGTGCTTTCCTGCTCCCTGACCGTCACCCCACTGGGTCAGAAACTGCATCGACCGGGAAACTTACCATTGCATGCTTGGACAGTAACTAAGCAGACCAAGGTTAGGGATCGGGGTCTGTGAAACTGGCTCCCCCCATTCACTTGGAGATGTCACAAGTAATGGTTTTTCTTCTGATCTTGAGAATGTATTTTCTTGCTCCAAATTTCCTTTCTTAGTGTGTGTGGTATTCCACAAAACCCATATAAGATTATTCGGTTTGGAGAGAGAGCCCTTCTCTTGGCATCCGCACCCCACTCGCGTGTTACGGACTGTACTCAGTCAGAACATTTGCTTCGTGTCCATCTGTAATACCTGTTCTGACGTGGTTCCCTCTCCCGTGACTTTCCAGGCGATTGACAGCATACATCAAGTCGGGGTTTATTGCCTAGCCTTGGTTCCAGCAAACACCCTCCCCAAAACCCCGCTTGGTGGGATCCACTTGTCAGAAACGAAGCAGCTCTTCCTGGAGGGCTCACTTCACCCCTGCAACGTCCTGATGTGCCCCCATACCTGTGTCACAAACTTGCCTAAACCTCGACAGAAGCAACCAGGTAGGGCTTGTGGGCTGGAGGCCGAGTGGCACTCGGGAACCGGGTGCTGTGGGTGCTGTGCGAGCAGGCGCTATGCCCGTCAGGGGTGTTCAGCCCTCTTCCTTTCCTGGTCTGCACGCTCCCAGGACATAACCCTGCCCCTCCAGAGGGTGCAGTGCAAGGGCTCTGCTGAGACTGCACTGTGTGCGGGGAGCTGGGCAGGTGGCGGACCTTGGGAAGGAGCCCCCACCTTCCCGGTGGGAGCGCTGACCCTTGGTCTGGCCAGGGGCCCTTTTTCCAGGCACAGAACCTCGCAGCCTTGGTTTACTTGTGCACACATTAGAATAACACCCGTTTCACGTGGCTGATTTAGGGGTCCGAGCAGCTGAGGTGTGGGAAAGCTGCTTGGAGCATGTGAGGAATTCTACAAATGTATGTGTGACATTGTTCTAAGAGAATGTGTGTCTAGCACCTTATGGTTTGGGGATATGTCATTATCCATTATCTGACTTTGTCTTCCTAGCAACTAATCGATCGTGCTTCTCAGGGTTGCACACACTTATCAGTGAAAGGGAATTGATCACAAGACTGTGGAAGGTGAAGACGCAGCTCTTCTGGCAGTGCACTGATGGGGGATCCCAGGGTGTCCTGGGGTGGTGCGTGGGGGTGGCTGGGTGCGGGCAGCAGGGGCGCATACTCAAGCTGTGTTCTAGAACAGTAGCGGAACTCCTGGCACAACAGCCACAGTTTCCACGTGTTGTACACATGAACCCCTCTCTTTTCACGGAGCTGTGTGGTGGGCACTCTTCTGTCCCCATTTCACATGTGACAGGTTCAGGGATTGCCCAGCAGCCATGTGTCCCACCCAGCTCAGTGTGGCTTCAGGGCTGAGTTTATGGAGTCAGCTAGAGGCGGTTGGGTCACCACAGGCTCAGCCCACTTGGTGGTAAACGCAGGGACTGAGGCCCATACCCCATAAGCGAGATTGGAGGAGAAGGTGGCTGGTCCTGTGTGGTGAGGTGGGGATGCTGATGCTACGGGAGGAAGGGGTCACCCCTCGCGTTGAGCAGGTGTCGGCCTACATCCCTTGCTGTGACTCCCTGTGATGCAGACAGTCGTGTGGTACCTAGATGGGGCAGCATTTGTTCTCTCCTCCCATGAGGAGTGGATTCTCTGGGAACACCTACAGTCACTGTCTGCTTTCTGGGCATATTAGCGCTGCGGTTTTAATCCGATTTCTGTGCTGTCCCTGGTTTCCTTACATTCCAGATTCCCGTAACTAATACCTTCCTTTTTTCTCTTTCTTCTCAGTCGCTGGTTTATATCCTTGCTGCAGGACACTGTAAAGTTACAGCTGACCAAGTGTCCATTTCTTTAACTTCAGTGGCAAGCCCCCCCAAAACACAAAGCATTGTCCTTCCATGGGCATATCGAAAGGATGAAGAGTCACGTCTTCGGTCTCCTGTTATTTCAGGGCATAAACAGCCATGGGAAGGGGAGAGCAGTCCCTCCGTCTGGGTGTGTGTGTGTCCGCGTGGAATGGATCGTGGTGGCGGGGCTCCTCAGGGTGTCCTTGTGCACAATCAGAGGTGACTGCCCTCTCTCTGTCCCCTGCTCACCTCCACTCACCATCACCCACCGCGGCCCCGGGGCCTGGCCACCAGTGGTCCCAGGAGCGGAGAAGCTCACGTGAATCCTGTGGGTCACAGTTTGTGAATTCAGGACAGATATTTACAGTGGGGGCTTGTTGGCAAATGCATGATATGATTCTAGGGCTGCCAGGCTCAGTGTACCTGCCAGATGTCAGGAATCCTCAAGAAGAAGAACCGGGCTGGGTGAAAAGGCCCAGGCACTCTGCTCAGAGGGCAGCGTCAGGGCGCCCGAGGACAGCCTTGTTCCTTTGAGCGAGCACAGACGGATGCGTGGGGAGGGTGGGGCTGCTTGCATATTGCAGCGGCAACAGGGTGAATGAAGCTTTGTGTGATTGATTTAAGGAAACAGTTTTTTAAGAATGATATTAGGCGTCCTATCTGTTTTTGTTAAATATTGAAAAGTTATATAACTGTCTGAAAACTGTTTTTAACAAATACTTATGGCAGCTGTGAGGTGCTGGTCCATTTTCCTCCCTCCGCTGATGACCTGTAATGGACCTCAAACAGGTGGTATTTCCCTAAAATCTCAGTTTCCCTAAGTGCAATGAGGGAGTTGGACCAGGTGATTTCTAAGGCTCCCTTGGAATAGACACGACTGGGAACAAGTACTCCTTGGAGCCAAAGCAGACATTTAGTAAGGCCATTTTTCCATGAGGGTGTTGCTGGGGGTTTCAAACAGAGCCCCTAAAATGTAGATAATTTGTAGACAACCTAATTGCCTCTTTTACTGGAATGGATTCATATTTGCTCAACTAACAACGCTGTGTATGTGAGTTTCTTAACTAAGCAACAAGTGTTAAAAGACCTTTAAGACCTTTAACCCATCAGTCAGGCCTGCAACAATGTCACAAACATTGAGAAAACCACCGGTGGTTAAGAGTCCCTGGGATACATTGTATCAGAGCCACAGGAGGGGAACAGGGAGGGGCAGCTGCTGAGCTCTGCACCCACCAGGAGGAGCCTTGCTCCAGGGTTCAAAATCATGATGCAGTGAAGTGTAAGGGTGTCTTGCACACCCACCCACCTCATTCAGCAAGGCAGGGAGACCCTCGGTTCTTGGTAGGGGGACAGATTTTGTAAACAATGCCATAGGAAAGCACCTGTCTCCCAGCAATGTTTGGAAAAAGATCATTCTTAAGTCCACGTGGGGGAGAGACATGTAAGGTCCGAGCTTCACATCCAGACAACTCTAGCAGGGACAAACATTGAGGAAGGAGGGACCACCTGCTAGGACCTTGGAAGAGTGCTTCTGCCCTCACGTGAATTCTTAAAAAATTACCGAGAATTCTTCAAGTCAGTTTAGGCCAGAGCGGCTTCCCAGACTGTCCTGTCCACCTCGGTCACCGAAGAGAACCTCAGGACGCTTCACCCACAGACCCCAAGCCAGGAAACGAAGGGCTCGTTGGCGGGGTCCCAGGAGAGCCCTGGCTCTATCCACACGGCAGCCACGTTCAGTGCACAGGAACCACGCTACTGCGTTTTCTTCTCGCTTTGTCAAATAGGAAAACACTATCCCTCCAGAATTTATTATGAGCTAAGAGAAAAAGTTCACACACGGCAATTCAGACGTAGTGGAGCAGAGGATATAAGGCATGTTCTGTGACGACACGGAAGCCAGTGTCAGGGCTCCTAGAGATTGCCTCACGTGAAGAAGCCTGTGGGCAGGAGCCCGGAAATCTGCGTCCTGGGCTGGTCTCCAGATTTCAGCCCTGCCTGGAAGCCCCCGGCCTTCGCCTGCATCGCTGTGATGTTGCATAGTTTATGGCTGCCCAGGTCCGGTTGGCCACATGTGTGCAGAGAAGAACTGTCCTGCTCCCCCTGGACAGTCCCCTGGGGGTGTCAGCCCTGCCCCTGCTCATCTTGCCAGGGTGTGCTGGAGCCCGGGGGGGCCCGGCAGCCGCCGGCCCCACCCCTCAGCCCGCGTCTAAAGCTCTCTGAGCTGCTGAGAGACAGCTCTTTGTGTGCAATAACACAGTGCACCAAATGCCCCATTTTGAAGCCTGTAAGTCGACCTTCGGTAAAGGTTTAATAAGAATTTTACTCAGCAGTGCCTGGCATCTTGGTTATTTCTACTGCCTTCTTTACGCTCCCTCCCCGCCTCCCCTCCTTGCCTCCATCTCACGCCCACTCCCCCAACAGCACGGTCTCCCAGAACAGTGAACCCTGCCCTCTCCAATCCGTGTGTGTGTGTGTGTGTGTGTGTGGGTGGGTGTGTGGGTGTGGTGACAACACAGTGAAGCCTAGAGGGTCCCTAGGGTTCCTTGTACTTAGAAATTTTGAAAGAGTCTCTGCAGTTCTTTAAGAAACTTGTTTCTTTCATTGAAAAAGAAAAGAAAGTTATCAGAGTAGATTCTATATGCCTTTCTCCTGGGAAAAGAGCATTGGTAACCGAGTCCGTGACGGTGTACAAGGAACTTGGAATGGGAGCCTCTTGGCTCCGTCGTCTGCCTCTCTGTGGGCCCGGCCGAGAGCCCAGAGCATGCCGTCCGTGAGACGCACAGTGGCCGTGTCTGAGCCTTCTGTGGTGCTCCTCCCCACGTGACAGGACGTATTTATAAAACCCGAGCAGTACTTTGTGTCCGAGGCCACTTGGACGGCTGCCACTGCAGCCCCGGGCAGCAGCACACGTGGTCCGGAGCCCTGACGGCTCGGCAGTGAGGCACGTCTGTCTGTGTTAATCCTTGTCGGTCTTCCGAGTTACCTCCCACAGATACGAACGTGGATAGAGCCCAGCATCCCTCCAACTGGAGAATAGTGGCAGCGGGATTTGGCGAAAGCCTTGTTTCTAACCTGTAATCGAGACCTGTTCAAGTTGGCCATCGTTCTCATGTTGGGACACCTTGGAAACCCTGTTCTGATAAGACTTTCTCAGAGCCTGGCCTTTGGAAGGGTTTCCCCAGGGCGACCGCTGCTCCACGGTGGGAGGGCCTGTTGTCAGTTCACCTGTTTCCTCCTGTTCTTTCCAGAAATCGGCCCTGCCTCTGTGATGGTGGGGAACCTGGTGTCTGGGAAGAGGATCGCGCAGGCCAGTGGCAGAGACCTGGGCCAGATCGAAGACAACGACCAGGCCCGCAAGGTGAGCGTGAGGCCGGGCTGCTCTCCAAGCCCCATGCCCACAGGCTGCTGCGTCACCAGCTGCCGGTCCCCTGTGTACCACTGGCCTCTTGGTCCAACAGACATACCGTATCATCTCACAAGGAAGATGTGTCTGTTGGGGGTGCACACACACCCGAGCTAAGGCCTGGGGCCAGCGTCTGGGGACACCTGTCTCGTCCTGGCGTTCTGTGGTTCTTGTTTCTCCTCTTCCTACCAGCCCTGATTTCATGCCCAGACGGCCTCACGGCAACCTGGGTGCAAGGCTTCAGTCTTGTAATTGTTGGGACACAAGAAAACATAAATTCAAAACCCACGTTAGGGAACCAGGCATCCTCAACACATCCTTAGGGGCTGGAGGAGAAATCTGCGGCCACACCCACCGTTCACATCACTCAGCTTGTCTCCCCGTTACAACCACTCAGACTTGAGGACTCTGATGAGTCGCCAAATGATGACCCCAGTCTGTGCTAGCTACCAGGAAATGTCACAAAATCAACCGTTCAAAATATTGCCACTTTGGTAACAAGTAGAATTGCATACATGAAAGCACTGGATCACCATGGTCCCACCTCAGAGTACATTTCTATTAATAAAATAGATTGAGGGATGTACCTGGGTGTTTCCTATGACCAGACATAAGATGGCGCTGACCTCTTTTTCGCTATCGACCGAGTCTGTGCGATGCACACAATCTGTGTGCTTGGTAGTGCTGTGGGATGACCTCAGGGAATGACCCTTCTGAAAACAGCAAATAGAAGAGAGTCCGTTTTAAGAACAGGGTCAATCCGATTCTGCCATTCCAGCCCCGGAAAGCACCCTCTTCTGGGAGCCCCGAAGAAGGGCTTTTCTGTGTCGGCTGCTCCGTCTGTAAGGGGAATGCCATTCTCCCAGCCTGGGCAGATGGTGGGGGACATCCCTGACCAGGCACCACCTCCCTGTAACTGGTGCGTCCAAGTTGGGCGCAGGGAGTTCCAGGTCATCCAGGAAAAACCCCGTGAGCACTGGCTTAGCCTCCCAGTTTTGTTTGACAGGGACGTGCTCATTCCTCTGTGGGAAAGCGCGCTGTCCTGAGCTGCCCTAACAGCACTGAGAGGGTAGGAGGTCAGTGTGAATGCGGTCTGTTCGGAAGGCCGGAAGCTAATGGCTGTGCTTTTGTCCCAGTTCCTGTTCCTCTCGGAGGTCCTGCAGTGGAGGGCGCAGACCACCCCCGACCACGTCCTGTACACGCTGCTCAACTGTAGGGTGAGGACCACTGCACGCGAACCTCATGGTCGCCCTCGGGCCGCTTTCTCTTCTCTCCTCTCTGTTCCTTTCACTTCAGTGTTATGTGACATCCTTCCCATTTATTTGTTGCCTTTTCACATGATTTTAGCAATTCTTTTGGCGATATTTCCCCCAAAACACGGGGGACAGTTCAGACCTATGAAATAGTTTTGTCTTTACTTTTATCAGAAAACTACTTTTTTGTAAATAGGAAGTGAGGCTTTCGTTATAGAGTTTCTTACGAATGAAAATCATCTCTATTTTACAAGCGTGATGAAGGTTTGTGTTGACATTTCACGCTGGAAAAGCAAGTTCATCCAGTATCATTCCACAGTGGAGCTTAAGGATAAGACCTTAAATATGCACACAAATAGTATTAACAATAAAAATCAAACGCAAAAGTCTTAATATCCTTAACTTTTCTTTTGCTGTGGAAATAAAGCCTGACAAGTAGATTTTACCCTTAGGTCTTCCTGACAAGTGTGGGTATGTGCGATTGTAGGAAGTTGTGACTGTTTAGAGTTGCAAAATATCAAAATCTTGCTGTGCAAAGCCACCTCTTACCATTTACAGTAATCGATTAGAGACGAGTGAAAGGCAGTGCCAAGCACATAACTGGCAGTATGGAGGGAACCTGTTCCCTGCATCCACTCTCCTGTGCTCCCAGGTGCATGGTGGTAGGAGGTGTTGCATCTGGGCTCCTGAGGATCTGAGCAGTTGCCCGGGCCCCTGAAACATGCCTACGCTGCTTTTCTCCTCTTTCCTCCATTAGCTCCTTCCTCAGCCCCTAAATACAGAAAAGACTCCGCTTTCCCCTGCCTTCCCAACACCGCTGCCTTGCGGGTGGTCCTCAGCTCTGCAGTGTCGTCCTGATTTCCCTTTAATCTATTCTTCTAACTTTCCCTGCCCTCCGGGTATTTGTCTTGGAGACTGTTCTTCCTCTGTGGTCTCTCAATGGCCCTGCAGAGATTTCCAGTGTCCCCTCCAGAGTGATGACCCAGAGAGACAATGGTCTTCTGCCCCCGGGAGGGACATCTGCTCAAGTCCTCAGGCCCTTTGCTTAGCCTCCCAGGTGCCACCGTGGTGCTGGTATGGTCGACATGATGTGGTGTCATCTGTAGACAAGCCACCAGAGAGCAAGAGGCAGGTCCATCACCCCCAACCCTCCCCAGCGCAGTCCCCCCACATTCTCTCCTCCTTGCAGTAGGGTTGAGAAGGGAGGGTGAGGATCTGTGCCTGGATGCCCTGGAGCCATAAGCAGGCAGCCGGAGGAGTAGGAGACCAGCCCTGCCACACACACAGGCTCGGAGGTCATGCGGGTGTGTTCACAGAGGACCTGTCCCAACAGGGGAGGAAGACAGAGCTGTTCTAACCACATCCAACTGTGGAAGTGCCCGCGTGAGAGCAGAGCCCTCAGATGGTCCCCTGGCGTGATGCCTGGACCCCGGGTCCTTCTGAGCAGCTCTGGCCTGGGTGATGTGTATTCCCATCCCTGACCCTGTGGCCACGGCCATCTGCTGTAGCTAGACGCCGGATTGTTGGGGGAAAACGAGTCACTGGAAATGACTCCCGCTTCATTAGAGACGACAGGAAATTGGATGGGCGAAGGGGAGGTCAGAGCCGTGAGTGGATCCACTTTGGGTCAGCATGGAGAAGGGTGCTTCGCGCGACTGGCTTTCCTTTGCACACAGCTCTGGATGTGCAGGTGGCTGCGTCCGGAGCCAGTTGATGGGTGGGGCCCGCCCCCGCCCCCTCCCTCCCCACCCAGAACATACAAGGGCTCGGCCGGGGCTGAGGGTCGGAATCGCCATCTTCTTGGTTGTTATTCATAGTTTCTGCTTCAAGCACCCTCCTAGGTCAGCACTATCCCCTACAAGGGTAGCGCGAGCCACACACATAATTCTATGTTTTCTAAAAGCAGTATTTTTAAAAGACAAACTGGTGAAATTCATGCTAGTAATGTTTAGCTGACCTCCGTAGATCCAAAATATTGTCACTCCGGCATGTGGCCCCCCGCATTTTCCTGCTGGCCTCCGTCCTGCAAGGGGCATGCTGTTGGTTGTCTTTGGGGACTTGATAAGGCTTGAGTGAGAGCAGTTTCCTATTTGGTGCAGACGGGACTCATGCGTATGCCAGTGCGGTCAGTGGGGTAGGAGTTCTGTCAGACGTACAGTAGGAAGTGGGGCTCTAATTCATTGCAGGTCATGGAAAGCTACGAGTTGGAACTTGTTTCCATACAAAAGTTCCTAAATAACAAAAGTGTTATTTTTTTTTTAACAGAAACGTAAGCCAAGTCTTTTTAACCTTTTTCTTTTACTTGTAGCAACTTCTTTAGAATTTTTTTTTAATTTCTTTAAAGATTTTATTTATTTGACAGAGAGAGACACAGCGAGAGAGGGAACACAAGCAGGGGGAGTGGGAGAGGGAGAAGCAGGCCTCCCGTGGAGCAGGGAGCCTGATGTGGGGCTCGATCCCAGGACCCTGGGATCATGACCTGAGCCGAAGGCAGATGCTTAACGACTGAGCCACCCAGGCGCCCCTAGAATTTTAAAATATAAATCCTATTTGGCTTTTTCTTAATTCCTAGTGTTTTTTCATTTATTATTTAATTTCATGTCAAACTTCAAAGTGGTGCCCAAATTCACAGTCCTTGACACTGAAATTTGTTGACTCAGGACAAGGGTTGGTCCTGTCATGATTCCACCCAAAACTTCCTTTAGAAGTCAGCCCTGATTTCTCTGGTGAGGTGGTTTATACTAGTCTCTCTTCTCTTTATGGAAACCTCATCGTTTCCCGTGGATGTCGATGGGGGGCCAGGCAGTTGTTGGCCAAGGATCAGAGGCTGCCATTTCGTGGGACGCGCATCTGTGGCCCCTCATTGTTCAGAGCCCCCACCAGTGGTGTTTCTCTAGAGCAGGAGGTTGTGCAGGAGCTCCCACAGGGGAGTCTGGGGCCAGGCATGGCTGCCGGTGGACCGGCGCTCCCCGTCCCAGCACAGCCCCTCCAGGCGGCTCGGGGACAGCTTCGGTGTCCAGGCGCCCGGTCGCTGACTCCAGACCCGGATGAGCCCTCAGGGCCTGCTGTGCGGCGGGGGCTTTCCTGCTAAAAAGCCTCGAGCAGCATTGTGAACCGTTTCAGAGGTCACTAAAGATAAAGGGCAGCGTACCAATTACATTTCACCTTTTCTAAAGTGTATCAGTGGGAATTTCACACCCCAGGGCCAACACATCTTCTCAGACACACTCATGCCTGCTGGTTCTGAGCTGACGGAGAAGCTGGTCATTGATGGGGGATGGGTATCGGATCTCCTGAAACTGGAGGGAAGGTCAGATCCAGAAGTGGAACCGCCCAGAGCAGGAGCGCTGGCTGGCTGAGATAAGACAGGTGCACCAGCGGCTGGAGGGCGGTGACAGAACAGCAGGGTCTAGCTCCTCAGGGACATAAGGGTGAGCCCCTTCTACCAGCACTGTCCTCTGGCGCACCACCACCCGCCTGTCCCCGTCTGACGGTCAGGAGCAGGATGGGAGGTGTGGGTTGGTCCCCACCAGCACAGGGAGGGAGCTGGTCCTGGTCCCCCCCATCAGCTGTGCCCATCTTCACTTTGAACTTCTCAAAGGACATTTGGGTCAACGAGTGCATTCATTTTGGTTCCGGCAAACAGGTGTGGTCCCCAGGAGTGGACGCTCAGGGAGTGTCCAGTGTTGGAGGCCCTGGGCTCCAGCCTCCTGGGTCTCTGTTACCCAGCTTTGCTGCACTCTGCCATGGCTCTTCTACTGCCTCATATTTTAACCATCCTCAGAAGAGAGACAATGAAGGGAAATGTGTGTGACAAGAGGATTCACTTCAGAGAAGCGTAAGCGGACCCTGTGCCCTGTAGGAGAGGCCAGTCCTGGTCGGTGGGAAAGGGCCAGAGCCTGCGGGCAGCCCCCTGCGGCCCCGGGCGCTGCTCGTACATCGGGGAGGGGAGTGTGTTGTTTCCCGGAGCTCGACACAACAGTCCGTTAGCTCGTGGATGATTTTGGCAAACACGGAGCGCTGGTGATTGTGTCCTCATGGTAAAATGTCCCACCCCCGACCCAGAGCAGGTGTTTCTAACACACAGGCCATGTTAACAGGAATTCTAACGTGTCCCCAGTATCTCCCATCACTAGAGCTCCACTGCCCATCTGTAAGGGACCCCAGGGTCTGGTCGCTTCTGTCCGCTCAGCGTTACCCTCCTTCCACACGAGCGTGCTCACCGCTCTTCCCTTGAGACTTGACTCTCCACACGTGACGTTTGCATCCAGTCCCCGAAAATCGCGGTGTCTCGCTGTTCTTCCTGCTGCCGCTGGACCACTGGCTCGCTCCGCCAGAGCCAACGGCGTGGTCACGATGCCGGGGCCGTGTTCAGTATGTGGACGCTGTGGGCCGCCGTGCCCGTGACTGCAGGAAGGCCCTTCACCCTGAGAATCACTTTAAAATAGGGTTTGATCGTGAAGAGCAGTGTTTCTATTTTTTCATTTTCTTCAACTCTTGATTTTGAAATAACTGTAGATCCTCAGGAAGTTACAATAGTGCCTTTGAGGTATTTTTTTTATCTAAATGTGTTTTCCATTTGTTTCTTCATGTTTAAAAAGTCTACATAAAATGAATATGACAGTTCATTTTTCCCTTTACTGTTTGTTTGTTTGTTTGTTTTTTTACTGTAGCTCTGTTTTGTTTGTTTTTAGACCTCTTTGACTTCTGATGTGTTTCTTAAAAATATTTTCAATTTGTGTAATATTCCTGTTCGTTCCCCACTGAGTCTTACTGCCCTTGGCGATTACACTGAAGTCCCAGAATTACCAGGTTGACTTTTTTTGTAAGTTGAGCTATTTTTTAGGTCAAGTAATTATTTTTTTTAAAGATTTTATTTGAGAGAGAGAGAGAGCATGTGAGTGGGGGGAGGGGCGGAGGGAGAGAGAATCTCAGGCAGACTCCATGCCTGTCGTGGGGCTCAACCCCACAACCCTGAGATCATGACTTGAGCCAAAATCAAGAGTCAGACACTTCACCAACTGAGTCACCCACGTGCCCCAAGTAATTATTTTTTAGAATATTTCTTGTTGGAGCGCCTGAGTGGCTCAGTCGGTGAAGCATCTGCCTTCGGCTCAGGTCATGATCTCAGGGTCCTGGGATCAAGTCCAACATGGGGCTCCCTGCTCAGCGAAGAGTTGGCGTCTCCCTCTGCCACTCCCCCTGCTTGTGCTTTCTCTCTCTGTCTCTGACAAATAAAGTCTTTTAAAAAATAAAATATTTCTTGTTAACACAGTGTATCTAGATGCCTCTTCGGTGCTGCCCTTCTTGGCCAGTGGGGGGAGAGGAGGGTGGCCAGTGTGCTAAAACTGACAGGTGTGCAGACGTACTAACATCCACATAAGTGTGCATTTCAAATAAGGGAACTGGCTGGTACCTGCAGTCTGTCTCGATAAAGCTGTTCTGTTCAAAAACACCTCACCCACTTGTCTTTGCAATTCCCAGGGTACGATAGCGAGCTCGCTAACGTGCGTGCAGCTGCATAAACGTGCCGAGAAGATCGCTGTGATGCTCATGGAGAGAGGACACCTGCAGGACGGGGACCACGTGGCTCTCGTCTACCCGCCAGGTGAAGGATGGGGCCGGCTCCAGAGCTGGCAGGACGGGCACCGGCTGACCGCTGGCCCTGCATTCTGTGTTGCTCGCTGCAGCTGCTTACAGCCTCTTGTGGGGACGGTGGTGTGTGCTGTGCAACTCGAGGGCATAAATAAGACGAAATTTCACAGACATCTGTATCTGTTTCTTTACGTATTGAGGTAGCTCGTTCAATCGATAGTCGTTAAACCCTTCACTAAACTGATAATCGTAGAGTTGAGTAATTGCGTAGAGAAGTGACAGAAATTAAACTTGCGGGCTGCTTTGGCACCTCATACCTGAAGGAACAGGCCAACAGGAAGTTACGGCCGAAGCCTAACAAAGCTCACGGGCGGAGGACAATCAGCAGCGGTCTCATGCCCGGGCTAGAACCTCTGCTGATGGGCATTGACTGTGTCGACTGAGAACTTTGCTCCTCTCCCATCTAGGAATAGACCTCATCGCGGCATTTTACGGCTGCCTGTATGCGGGCTGTGTGCCAATAACCGTCCGCCCTCCACACCCACAGAACATCGCAACGACGCTGCCGACCGTGAAGATGATCGTGGAGGTAACCCTGCCTGGGAGTGCCGGGGCTCCTAGATCCCAGGGCCCAGGGCAGGACTGGCTCCGGGCCGGTGGGGCAGGTGTGGCCTCTAGCCTCCAGTTCTGGAAGTAGGGTTTCAGCTCCTTTGTGGGCTGGGGATGGCATTGTGGGTGCATGAGGATGGAGGAGCCCTGGAGAAAGTAGCTCCTCGCCCACAGCACCTGGACAGACAGCGGGAGCTTCTGCACCAGACTGACGAAAAAGTCATGTAATGTTTTTAGTATTTATTTGTTTAAATAATCTCTACACCCAATGTGGGGCTCAAACTCATGACCCCAAGATCAAGAGTCACACGCTCCTCTCACTGAGCCGGCCAGGTGCCCCAAAAGTCTTATTTTTTTTTAATTTCTTTGCTCAAGGTTTAGAAATGTCCCATTCCTTTTTTTAAAGCACAGATTTATTTTAATCGTTCTTATGCTTGGGGAAGTTTAGAAGGATTAGGAGAAGTTTTTCCCCTTGGAGGAGGGACAGCTTAGTCTGGGGACAACACATGCAAATTCTTTCAATGGTGATGTTGGAAGATGGCCGAGGCCATTACTCCCTTTAGGAGGTAGTGATCGTGTAAGTGGGTACACGGGGCGGCTTTTATAGGACAGAGCTAACCGTGAGTGCGGTGGTTGGGGTGCTCCATTCTGAACATGTGTGTCATGGGTGTCCCTCAGCTCCAGAAATGCCAGGGACCACAGTGTCCATGAGCTCTGTGTGCTGTGGTCAGTTCCTGGCTCTGTCCTGCCTCCGGCGGCCAACACTGGCTCCGTGGGCTGTGAGGGCCCACGGCCTCGGGGTGCGTAGTGAGCGGCGTGTTCTCTGACCGGCAGGTGAGTCGCTCTGCCTGCTTGATGACAACACAGCTCATCTGTAAGTTGTTACGGTCCAGGGAGGCAGCTGCGGCCGTAGACGTCAGGGCATGGCCCCCCATCCTGGACACAGGTCAGTCCTCGAACCCGCCAGAGACGTTCTTGTGTGCCTCTGCTTTCCCACTGGGTCACGTACGCTAACGGCTTTATTTTGCTACAGATGATTTGCCAAAGAAGCGGCCTGCCCAGATCTACAAACCTTCCAACCCAGACACGCTAGCTTATCTCGACTTCAGCGTGTCCACGACCGGGATGCTTGCTGGAGTGAAGGTGAGAAACATGGTCTGCACGGTGTGTGGTTATGAGCCGCGTGGGGCTGTCCCTTGATGTTCTTCTGTAGAGCGGGACTCTAGCAGGCACTTGAAGGGGCACGTGGGAGGGGTGCGTCCCTGCCCTTCCTGAGACTCTAAGATGCGTGACCATTTCCATGGTGACCTAGGCTGGCCGATTCTTTCCACACAGTCCAACTGTTTTTTTGTATGTAAACACAGCCTCATTAGCCCCTAGTAAAGAGTTGCATGTTTTTCTTCCTTGCTGGTTCTCAAATCCCAGTGCTCTGTTATAAAACTCGGTGCACTGGGGTTTCTTCCCTTTTTAGCTTGGGTTCCATCCTGGCTGGCTGACCACTGACCCTTGTTTCTACCAAAGAATGGAGCTGCAGTTGACCCTTGAACAACTGGGGGGGGGCGGTTAGGAGCACCCCCACCCCTGTGCAGTCGAAAATCTGCGTATGACTTTTGAGTCCCCCAAAACTTAGTTACTTACAGCCTCCTGCAAATCTTACCAGTGACATAGACAGTCCATTAACACCTATTTGTGTGTTCTATGTGTTACATACTGTATTCTCACAGTAAAGTAAGCTGGAGAAAAGAAAATCCTGTTGAGAAAGTCACGAGGGAGAGAAGAAACATTTACAGTCCTGCCCTATAAAAAACCAGTGTATAAGGGGGCCGGCGCCCACAATCCTGTGTCGTTCAGGGGTGCACTGTGCTGTGTGCTTCACCTCATGAGGACCCTCAGGGCTCAGGCAGTGTCCCTGTGAAGGGACTGGTACATCCTCTGTAGCCTCAAGAAGCCCTTGGCCCGCCCTCGGGATCTGACCCCTCTGTTTATGTCATTTACCTCAGTTCTCTTTCTCTACTTTTTTTTTTCAATTTTTTTAATTGTCAAATACACTTAACATAAATTCACTTTAATAACCGACCTAAGTATACGGTTCAGGAGCATTAAAAACACTCACACTGTTTTGGAGCCGTCCCTACCATCTGCCCCCATAACTCACCGCGTCTTGTGAAACTGAAACTCACTACCTATTAATCAAGAGCCCCCATCCCCTCCACCAGCACCCACTATCTCCCTTCTGTCTCTGGGATTTTGACAATTCTGGGGACCCCATAGATATGGAGTCCTGCAGCGCTGTCCTTTTTTAATTGGCTCATTAAATGTACCGTAATGTCCCGGGGTTCATCCATGTTGCTGAGGGGCTCAGAATTCCTTTTTAAGGCTAAGTTAACATTTCATTGACGTTTGGCCTTTGCGTTCATCTGTCAGCGAACAGTAGGGCTGCTTCCAAGGGTTAGCTCTTGTAAGCAATGCTGCTGTGAACAAAGATGTGCAAGCCTCTCTTAACACACTGCTTTCACATCTTCTGGGTATGTGCCAAGAAGTGGAATTTGGGGTCGTATGGCCATTCCATTTTAATCCCGGGAGGGAATCGCCATGCTCTTTTCCATGGTGGCCATACCATTTCACCTTCCCCTCATCCTTGTCAACTCTCAGAGTTTTCTAGTTTTTTTGTTGTTGTTAATAGTAGCCATTCTAATGAGTGTGCAGTGGTATCTCATTGTGGTTTTTTGATTTGCACTTTCCTAATGATTAGTCATGCAATTAATGGCCATTTGTACATCTTCTTTAGAGAAATATCTATCCAAGTCCTTTGAATCAAGTTGCTTGTTTTGTTGTTGTTGTTGTTGTTGAGTCTTACAAATTCTCTGCATATTCTGGATATTAAACCCTGAATTTTCTCCTATTCTGTGGATTGCCTTCTTACTCTGTGGATAGTGTCCTTTGATGCACAAAATTTTTAAATTTTCATACAGTCCAATTTTGTCCTTTTTTTTTTTTTGGCCTATGCCTTTGGTCACATCCAAGAAATCATTGCCTAATTACGGTGTCATAAAGCTTTATATTATGTTTTCTTCCAAGAATTGTATTATCTTAGGTCTTACATTTCTGTCTTTGACCCAATTGTTAATTTTTCTCTGTGGTTTTAGGTAAAGGTCCAACCTCATTCTTTTGCATGCAGAGACCCAATTTTCTCAGCACCATTTGTTGAGAAGACTGTCTCTTCCCTCATTGAATGGTCTTGGCACCCTTGTCAAAAATCAGTTGGCCATAAATGCAAGGATTTTTTTTTTGTTCCGGGCTCTGTATTTTCTTCTATGAATCTATGCATCTGTTTTTATGCCAGTACTGCACTGTTTTGACTACTGTATATTTGTAGTAAATCAGGAAGTGTGAGTCCTCTATTTCTTTTCAAGATTGTTTTGGCTTTTCAGATTTTCTTGAGATTCTGTTTGAAGTTTTTGATGCATTTTCTACTTCTACAAAAAATACCATTGAAATTTTTTTATTTAAATTCAATTAGCCAATATATAGTACATCATTAGTTTTTAGTATAATGTTCAATGATTCATTAGTTGCTAATAACACCCAGAGACTGCATTGAGTCTGTATTAGGGTAGTATTGATGTCTATGAATATGGTATATGTTTCTATTTATTTATGTCTTCAATTTCTTTGGCAATATTTTGTAGTTTTCATTGTACAAGTCTTCCTGATTCCTAAGCATTTTATGCTTTGATGCTATTATAAATAGACTTGTTTTAATTTCCTCTTCAGATTTTTCATTTAATGTATAGAAATGCAAGTGGTTTTTGCTTGCTGACTTCTTATCCTGCTACTTTGCTGAATTTATGATTTTTAATAATTTTTGTGTGAAATATTTAGTGTTTTCTATATATATGTTCATTTTATCTGTGAAGAGAGATTATTTTACTTCTGTCTTTCCATTCTGTATGCCTTGTATTTATTTTTCTTACCTAATTGCTTGGGCTAGAACTTCTAGTACTATGTTGACTAGAAGGGGTGCCTTGTTCCTGATGGTAGAGGTAAAGCTTTGAGTTTTTCATGACTGAGTATGATGTTCTCTGTGTTCTTCATATATGGCTTTTATTATGTTGAGGCCCTTTTTTTCTATTCCTAGTCTATTGAGTGTTTTTATTATAAAAGGTTGTTGAATTTTATCAGATGCTTTTTTTTTTTTACATCAATTGAGATGTCATATGGGTTTTTTCCCCTCGTTCTTTTAATGTGATATATTGATTGATTTTTTTAAAAGATTTTATTTTTAAGTAATCTTTACACCCAGTATGGGGCTCAAACTCACAACCCTGAGACCAGGAGTCATATGCTTCTCCAACTGAGCCAGCCAGGTGCCCCTATTGATTGATTTTTCATATGTAGAGCCAACATTGCCTTCCAGGAATAAATCCCACTGACATATAAGCCTTTTAATATGCTACCAAATTGGGTTAGTACTTTGTTGAGGATTTTTGCATCAGTGTTCAGCAGGGATATTGGTCTGTAGTCCTCTGTTTTTATAGTGTCTTTGGCTTTGGTATCAGGGTTATGCTGACCTCAAAGAATGAGTTAAGAAGTGTTCCTTTCTTTTCAGTTTTTTGGACAAGTTTGAGAAGGACTGGTATTGGTTCTTTTTTTTTTTTAAAAAAAGATTTATTTATTTTAGAGAGAGAGTATGTGTGCATATTGGGGGGAAGGGCAGAGGAAGAGGGAGAAAGAGAATCCCAAGCAGACTCCCCACTGAGGATGGAGCCTGACTCAGGGCTCGATCTCACAACCCTGAGATCATGACCTGAGCTGAAATCAAGAGTCAGATGCTCAACCGTCTGAGCCACCCAGGTGCCCTGGTATTAGTTCGTCTTTAAATGTTTGGCTCATTTTAGCAGTGAAGTCATCGGGTGTAGGGCTTTTCTTTGTTGGGAAATCTTCTTTACTGATTTGATCTTACTGTTTGTAAGTTTATTCAGACTTTTTATTCTTCATGATTTAGTCTTTGTAAGTTTTGTGTTCCTTCTTGATAATTTGTGTTTCAGTTTCCATGAAATGCAATTTCTCCATTTCATATAGGTTGTGCAGTGTGTTGGTGTACAGTTGTTCATAGTACTCTCTTATAATTAATTTTATTTCTGTAGAATCTATAATAAATGTCCCAACTTTCAGATTTTAGTAATTTGAGTGTTCCTTCCTTTTTTCTTAGTTCATCTAGCTAAAGGTTTGTGTGTTTTGTTGATTATTTCAAAGAACCAACTTTTGCTTTCATTGATTACTACTTCTCCACTCTCTGTTTGCTTACCTCCATTCTAATCTTTATTATTTCCTTCCTTTTGCTAGCTTTGGGTTTAGTCTGTTCTTCTGTCTCTCATTCCTTAAGTTGTGAAGTTAGGTTGTTGATATGAGATCTGTCTTGTTTTTAACCTGTTTATATAAATTTCTGCATTAACATTGATTTTGCTGTGTCCTGTAAGCTTTGGTATGTTGTATTTTCATTTGCATTTGTGTCTAAGTATTTTATGATTTTCCTTGTGGTTATTTAAGAGTACATTTTTTTTAATTGTGGGTTTTCCAGTTTTCCTTCTTTTGGGTTTTCCAGTTTTCCTTCTGTTACCAATTCCTAATTTCATCCTGTTGTGGTTGGAGAAGATACTGCATATGGTATCTATCTTTTTAAATCTATTGAGACTTAATTTGTGGCCTAAAATATGGTCTATCCTGGAATATGACCCAGTGCTCTTGAGAAGAGTGTGTATTCCATTGTGGTTGAGTGTTCTCCCTGTCCCTCAGATCTCTTTGGTTTATTGTGTTCAGTCTCCTATTTTCTTTTTTTTTTTTTTTAAGATTTTTATTTATTTATTTGACAGAGAGACACAGCGAGAGAGGGAACACAAGCAGGGGGTGTGGGAGAGGGAGAAGCAGGCTTCCCGCGGAGCAGGGAGCCCGATGCGGGGCTCGATCCCAGGACCCTGGGATCATGACCTGAGCCGAAGGCAGATGCTTAACGACTGCACCACTCAGGCGCCCCTTTCTTTTCTTTTTTTTTTTTTTAACGTGTCTTCTTTTTGGTTGTTCTAACTGTTATCGAGAGTAGGGTATTGAAGTCTCTGTCACTGAAGAAACGTCAATTTCTCCTTTTAGTTTTGTCCATTTTTGATTCATCTGTTTTTGACAGTCTGTTGTTGGGTGTGTAGTTGTTTATAATTGTTAAATCTTCTTGCTATACCGAACCCTTTGTTAATATGTAATGCCCCTCTCTGTCTCTTACAACCTTTCTGGAAGTCTGTATGTCTGATATTAGTTTAACTACTTCTGCTCTCTTTTGGTTACTGTTTGCATGGAATGTCTTTATCCATTCTTTCACTTTCAAATTACTTGTGTCTTTTGATCTAAAATGAATCTCTTGGGGGCGCCTGGGTGGCACAGTTGGCTGGGGATCCAACTCTTGGTTTTGGCTGAGGTCGTGGTCTCAGGGTCATGAGATCAAGCCCCGTGTCAGGCTCCACACAGAACACAAAGTCTGCTTGGAGTTTCTGTCTCCCTCTCCCCCTGCTTCCCACCTCTGCATGCTTGCTCTCTCTTTCTCTCTCTTGCTCTCTCACTCTCTCTCTCAAATAAATAAATCTTTTTTAAAAATAAATAAAAAATAGATAAAATGAGTCTCTTGTAGGCACCATATGGTATTTTATGTATTTTATTCACTCTGCCAATTTCTGTCTTTGGAGAATTAATCTGTTTACATTACACTAATTACTGGTAAGAAGGGACTTCTGTGAGGTACCTGGGTGGTGCAGTCGATTAAGTGTCTGACTCTTTATTTTGGCTCAGGTCATGATCTCAGGGTCGTGAAATCTAGCCCTGTGTTGAGCTCCCCACTCAGCTCAGCACTCTCCCTCTGCCCCTCCCCTTACTCGCACTCTCGCGCTCTCTCTCAAATAATTTTTTTTTTTTAAAAAGAAGGGACTTCTGTCATCTTGCTCATTATTTTCTATATGTCTTACAACCTTTCTGTTACTCATTTCCTGCATTGCTCTCTTGTTTTGTGCTTAGTTGATTTTTTGTACTGAAACATTCAAATTCCTTTCTCATTTCCTTTCATATATATTCTACAGGTTTTGTCTTTGAGGTGACCATGGGGATTGGGTTGGGCAGCCTACAGTTGTAATTCTCCAGTTTGGATTATCCCTACTTAGTTTCAGGGACATAAAAAACTGCGCCATCTCTACCTCTCTCAGTTGCTGATTCACAAAGTTATATCTTTATATACTGTGTGGCCCAAAATATGTAGTAATAATTCTTTTAAATGCATTGGTCTCTTAAGTTATGTAGGGAGAAAAAGTGGAATTTAAACCCAAAGTTACAGTAACAGTTTTTCGACTGATAATTGTTTTGTTTTACCGTATTATTCTCTTAAATCACGTAGAAAATGAAGGGTAGAGTTATAAAGTATTGTTGTGATTATACTAGCTTTTTTAAGACTTGTTTATTTATTTTAGAAGTGGGGGGAGAGAGAGCAAGTGAGGGGAGGGGCAGAGGGAGAGAATCTCAGGCTGACTCCCTGCTGAGCGGGGAGCCCAACACGGGGCTCAGTCTTACAACCCTGAGATCATGACCTGAGCTGAAATCAGGAGTCAGAGGCTTACCCAGCTGAGCTACCCAAGTGCCCCAGGATTACACTAGCTTTTATAATTGCCTTGTATTTACCTTTACTGAGATCTTAATTTATTCAGTGACTTCAAGTTGCATCTAATGTCTTTCTCTTTCAACCTATAGGACTCCCTTGAGCCTTTCATGGCAGATCTAAATGTCAGGAGGGGGCCCACAACTTTTTCTTTAATGGGAATGTCTTAATTTTTCCAAAATTAATTGCCACTGCCCAAGCCTTCCTCTGGAAGTTAAAAACCTTAACAGACTCCAGAGCTCCAAATAGTTGCATCATTTTCTGCCCACATAATTGTTGTCTGGTTGCTATGGAGACCGTCTTCCCAGAATCCTCTCCTTTGCTTTTCAGTAGAATCTGATCCACCAAATAAAGTGGAATATAAAATAAAATAATTCTTCAAAAGCCTTTTGAAGACTTACTTGTTTGAGAGAGAGAGAGAGCATGCATCAGCAGGGAGGGGGGAGAGACAATCTCAAGGAGGCTCCACACTGAGCAGAGCTCAACCTGGGGCTTGATCTCATGACCCTGAGATCATGACCTGAGCCGAAATCAAGAGTCTGTCACTTAACCGACTGTGCCACCCAGGTGCCCCTTCAAAAGCCTTTTGGAGTACAGATTTCTTTTCAGACCAGGATAAGTGACTTACCACAGTGCTGAAGGTGGCCTTGAGTCGCCTCTGGTCATAGCCGAAGGGAAACACACACTTGGATCCTACCGTTTTCTACAGAGGTGGAGGCTATAATGTTACATCTTGATTCGATAAAGATACTTCTGCTTGAAACAGATAAAGCGATCTATGCTATCACTTCATGGTGATTCCACTTAATATAAGTATAAACCCTAGGAATCCCAGAGAGAGGAGTAACTAGACTTTCTCTCAAACTTATGAAAGCTTTCTTTTTTAAAGATTTATTTATTTTAGAGAGCGAGAGAGTGTGTGCAAGGGGGGTGGGGAGGGGTAGAGGGAGAGAAAGAATCTCAAGCAGACTCTGTGCTGAGCGTGGGTCCCTATGTGGGGCTCAATTTCATGACCCTGAGATCACAACCTGACCGGAAACCAAGAGTCGGCTGCTTAACTGACTGAGCCACCCACGCGCCCCTCAAATTTATGGAAGTTTTTATTAAACTTCTGACATTTAATTTGTTTGACAAGTACCTGAGATGAAACCTACTGTGATGTCATTTAATGAAAACCCGTATGCCTTAAGTACTGAGAGGAACAAACAGAGCTGAAATCATCTGGTTTATAGTCTGTCCTGATGGAAATTCCTTCTACCTCTTTGCTTGAACTTGTCACCATGTTTTTTGGAAATGTTAATACACTTTCAGCTTTTGGACAAAAATGTCATTAACCCTTCAGTGAAATACCAAAAGTTGAGAGAAAGAAGTTTACCCAGTAAACCGTTTTCTCCATAATGGGCACTGTATAATGTCTGATTTAGTGTAAGACCCATGAGTATGTGTTTTATGTTCAATTTAAGTTTTATAATACTAACTCTTCAAAAGTGTAATTTGAACTCTGACAGTTTCTGGTAGCTCCTGGATACACATTTGCTCGATGTCCACGAGGACGTCATGTGGGGGGACCCATATGGCATCTGCTGTGTCCTTCAGATCAGTTGCCCTCTGGGCCTCCACACAGGATGTTTTAGAACCGTGGTGGCTCTCCCTTCCACCGAGGGTGCTCACTCTCAGGTGGGGTGTGCCACTGACGTTTGCCCAGACCATGGACACTTAGTTCATCATCAGCCAAAGTCATACTGCACTCGAAAGTAACCCTTCCCAAGAGAAGTCCTAAGATGCATCCTAAAAATAAATACAGGTGCCCTCATCCCTGAGTCCTCCAACTGACATCTGCTCTCAGTGTCTCTTTCAGAGTAGAGCATGAGAGCTTGTTTGGGGCTTATGGAAAACTAATTCCTTATCCAGGTATAAGTCTGTCTTCATAAGAATTGGGCATTTTTCTTCCAACTTGGGCTATGGGTCTGTGATGTTGATAGGGTCCAAGATTGCTGTGAGCTTGGACATGAGATGTTCAGCTTTCCTGGTTGCTTTTTTCTTAATCTCTCTGTGTTCTTGTCACTTTGATGAGATCTGTTCATGCTTACTCGCCCTCAAGACCCAGAGCCCTCTATGAGCCCCAGGGCGATGGGAGAACCCATTCTCTGCTCACCATATATGTTGTCAAAATGCTCACGGGCCCCACAGTTAACAGAGTTCTCTCTCAATTTCCCACTGGCTCACAAGCTCCTGGGGTTTGAGGCTGTGTTTTATTCTTTTTCATTTTCAGAGCACCTAATACAAAGCCTGATACATAGCATGTCCTCAATTAATATAATGAATATTTGCTGAGCTGAGCTGAAGAACTCTACTCTTGCTACAAACAGTACCTGCACAAAGCTAGGGGTTCAGGAAAGGTTCATTTTAGTGAGAATGTTGGTAATTTAGGATTTTACTAACTCCCCATCCAGCAGGTAGGAGGTTGAAAGAATGTTTCCTAAATCCAGCATTGTTTCTTCTTTAAGCAAATATTGTGGCTTTAACAGCAAGCTAAAAGGAACCGCTTGTGTGTTAGACTCTGGGGTAATTCTGTATTACCTTTTGTGAATTCCGTGAAGTACCCACAGTGAAACCTGCCAGCCAGAGCGTCTAACAGTGCTCCCACGTTCACAACACAAGTGTCCCCCACTCCCGGCTTCTCTCCTCCGTTGCTGGGGTGGCTAACGGTGCTTTTCCCAGACATTTGGCGGGGTCTGCCTGCGTGTGAGGGTGCTCGCTCCCGCCCCTCCCACAGTTCAGCTCCAGGGGACATCGGCTTCAGATGCACTGAAGACATGTTTAAAACCGTGAACTTGGAAAAGTTTTCCTTCCCCTCTCAGGTTGGCTTGGCTAGAGAGCTTCTGTGAGAAAACTGATTTTTATTAGACACGTTTTACAGTATTTTACAGTCACTCACGTTAGATTCTGGCTGTGGGCGCCCCCCTTCTGTCACCTTGGTCGTGCAGGGAGTGGGGTTGCTGGGGCATGTGACTGTCAGCAAGCCGCCTTCTCTGAGCCTGGTTTCCTGATCACTGACACGGGATGTCCATCCACCGTGCCCCACTGGCCCTATCACATGACAGGCACGTGTAGGTCAGACGCAGTCCCGACCCGGCGAGGGGCCCCGAGCCCTAGGGGTCCCCACCTTCTTCACAGTGCGGTGGCATTGCAGGACATGGTTACTTCAGCTGCGGGATTCCGGGGTCTGGGGGCCCAGGACGTGCTGCGTGTGGTTTAGTCGTTGAAAATGGGAGCACTGACAGGAACCGTAGCCCAGTTGCCCCCTTCCTGCAGTCCCCTTGGGGTGCTGGAGGCCAGGCTGTGTCGCCTGAGGGTGGCCTTGCTGTCTTACAGATGTCTCATGCAGCCACCAGTGCCTTCTGCCGTTCCATTAAGCTGCAGTGTGAGCTCTACCCCTCTCGAGAAGTGGCCATCTGCTTGGACCCTTACTGTGGACTTGGGTTTGTCCTGTGGTGCCTCTGTAGGTGAGTATCCTCTTGAACATCTTTGCAATGATGACCAAATCAGTCACGCACCCCCGTTCTAGACCATTTGCAGAGGGGATGCCAGTGTCTGGCGGGGGGGCGGGGGTTGCCACCTCCTGAGGGGCTGGCCGCGGCGCAGTCACAGATGGGTCGCTGTCCCGTCCCTCCTCAGCCCCGCGATCCGGGAACAGCAGGCACACCACGGTGCTATCCACGCTCCCCAGCATTTGCTGAGCCCCGCAGAGACCACAGACTCTGGGCTCATTCTGGGAGGCTGCCCGGTGGGGACCCCTGTTTCCAAGTGTGGACACCAGGCTGAGCCTTTGGTTCTTTGCCTTTAAATCCTAACCATTACCCACCCTGGAATGTGTATTAAATTGGTGGGCACTTCAGGCTCCCTCCTGCTTCAGGCCTCTCCCTCGTGGGTGGGAGGAACTTCAGCTGCAGGAAGGCAGGGAGCTCCCTGTGAGAACCCTGCCCGCCCCGCCACAGTCCGGCCCCCCAGCCCCAGCCCCACCAGTGCCAGCCGGTAGCAGGTTCAGCAAGGGTCTGCAGAGACAGTGAACACATGGAGATGTATTGGCATTTCTTCGGGCTATACATACATGTTCACTGTAGAAACTTTAGGGAGTACAAAATAGCATGAAGAACATGAAGACTTCAATGACCATACCACCTCGTGACACCAGGAAATACTCACCATTAGCATTTTGCATATAGTCTTCCAGAGTTTGGTTTGGAAGGTAGCATACTATTTATTGTTAACACTTCAAGCTTCTGTAAGTGTATGGAGAATGCCATAGTACACACAGTGCCCACCATCCGGCTCCCCACAGACCACATTTGGATGGTTCTGTTTCATCTCTCCTTCCGGTTTTTTCTGCCCCTGTGTTCCATTCGGCATTTTAAAGCAATCACCAAACAATGTGATTTCACCATAAACCATTAAGTATGCGTACGGTTTTGTGACTGTGCCTTAATATAGGTATAAAACTGAGATGCTACCATTTGAAAGTTGTTATGATTTCCTTTCTTCTTAATAGTCTGTAATGTCTTCTCTCATGTCTTGAAATACACTTCGGAAAACAATTCTTCTAAGGCATTCCTAATATTTAATAGTGGAATTAAAATCCAGTCCTGTATTTTTGAAAAGAAATTTCTTTTGGGAAAAAATGAGTTTTTGCAATTCATTCTAATTAGAACAATTAAACTTGTTGAGAGAGCAAATTCAATTAAAATATTTAATGATTTTTGCCTCACTGTAAAATGCAGTAGTATCGCGCATAAATTTTTTTCTTGGGAAATAGTTTAGAATATGGCATTCCAGTAGAGGGGCCAAGTGACCCTTGACCAACTGAGAAGGAAGCCTGTCCTGAACCACCAACTGTGTGTGGAGGAGACTGTGTGTCCCTTGGCAAGGACACCAATAGAGCCAAAGCCAGTGGATGGAGTGCTCTCTCGTCCTGGCGCTTGCCGAGCCTAACCCTCGTGACATCACCAGAGAGGCTGCCTGTCAGTGGGAAAGTGTTTGACGTGTACCAGTAGCAACAGGGGCACAGTGGAGCTCTTGAAAGGGGCTCTAAGGAACCTCTGCCTAATGAGCATCTTTCCTGCAAATTCGTTCCGAAGTCCTGACATTACAATGTTCTGTTGATTGACTCTGCAACGCTAAAATAAACACATAAGAACTCTAAACTTCTTCCTTCTGAAGTCCTCTGTAGAAACAGATCCAGACAAACTTGCTTAAAAACTGGACCTGGGAGCATCTACCCCAGGAGTGATGAGAACGCCCCACACCTGTCAGTACTGTGGATACCAGTAGTCTCTCAGATGAGCTAGTGTTCACTCAAGAAATGGCCGATTTCAGGGCTGGTACAGGAAATGCACAAGGTGAACCTGAATGTCTTTTTGTGCGAGAAAGCGCACATGGTCGGAGGGTGACATGTCCTTTGGAGGGCCTCCCACTCGTCAAATTGGGGGGATTTCAGCATCAAAATAAAGATTATGATAGGTAAGCCTGGATAAAAATAGGAAATTATCTCACTATTCAGACAGACAGACAAATTGAAAGCTTGATTGATAGAGTAGACATCCAGAAAATAGTTGTTATAAAGGGGAGGAGAGAACCTTCACGGCAGGGAAGCAGGGCCGTTGGGTTTCACCCAGAGAGTTGCAGCAAAGGAAACAGCGTCACGTCCAGGGCCTTCCTGACAAAGACCCTTCCCTGAACCACTGAGTCCAGGGAGCATCAGACCCAGACGGAGGGATGCCCGTAGCTGCTGTCTGTGACCACGAACACCAGGGTCACAGAGTCACACAAGCCCTGAGGACCCAGCGGGCGGGCTGATGGTGTCTGTGCATGTGTCTCCCAACGGTCTCCTTTCTCTGTAAAAGTCACCATCAGGACCACCGGCAAACATGAAGAGGGTCCAAGGCTTCAGTGGAAGAAATGTACGTTTCCTGATTTGACGTCTTAGTTGGCCATATGGAGAAAAACAAACTTGCTTCCTGGAAATACCTGCTGATGTATTTTGGGTTGATGGGGCATCATCAGGTCACTGACCCATCCTCAAGTGATTCAAGAGGGGAAAAAGCTATTTCTACTTAAAACTTTTCTGTAACTTTACAATGGTTTCAACATTTCTAAAAACTTTAATACAACTTCTTGTGTCTCCATCCTAAAGTTCCCCTCAGTCATAAAATAGAGGATTATTTCTCTGAGAATCATGATATTAACAGAATTGTTTCAAAATAGTCTTAAGATCAAATATGTCTTAAAAAGCATTTCCAATTGTTGATATTCATGGGTTAGAAGTTTCAATATTATTAAAATAGAAATTCTCTGCAAATAGATCTAGAGATTTGATGTAATTCCTGTCAAAATCTCAGCAGGGATTTTTTTTTTTAGCAGAAATGGACAACTTTGTACTAAAATTAAAAAAAAAAAACAACAACAACAACACACAATATCCAAAACAATTTTAGAGTAGAATAACAAAGTTGGAAAACTCAGACTTCCCAATTTCAACATTTATGTAATAACCAGGCCAGGGCTGGGCTAACGTAAAGGTAGTAGGAAGGTAGATGCAGAAAAAAGAGCCAATGAAACAGAATTGGGAGTGCAGAAACTGTGGTGACCTCTTACATGTGGTCACTTCATTTCTCAACAAAGGTACCACGGCAGCTCAGTGATAAAAGGGTAGTATTTTCAATGAATGATGCTTGGGAATGTTGGTCGTTCTCCTGCAAAAAGATTAAACTTTTACGTTGCATCATGTAAATAAATTCACAGTAGGTTGCAGACATTAATGTAGGAAATAAGACTTTTAGAAGGAGACAGAGGAATTAGTCTTTATAATCTTGAGCTAGGCAGAGTTCTTAGATACAGTACCAGAGGTACAATACATAAAAGAAATATTGACAGATGCTGCTTCAATAAAACTAAAAACGTGGGCACATCAAGCAACACTATTAAGAAAGTTGGAAATACAAGCCACAGACTGGGGAAAAATATGTGCAAATCATAACCTGATAGAGTCCCTCTGACCAAATATAAAACGAACTCTCAAAACTCAAGAAGAAGGAGACACACAACATGATTTAAAAATGGGCAACAGATTTGAATAGACATTTCACCAAAAATACACAAATGACTTATAAGCACATGAAAAGATGCTTAACATTGTTTAGGGAAATGCAAATTAAAACCAGTGAGATAACACTTCATACCCACTGGAGCAGATATAGCCACAAACCCCAGAAAGTAACAAGGTTGGGGAACTTGTATCTTCTGGTTTCAAAACTGTACCATAAAGCAACAGTAACCAAGGATGTGCAGAAACTGGAATTCTCCTACATTGTTGAGGAGAATGTGAAATGGTGAAACCACAGTTGGGCACGTTCTTAAAAATTAAACATAAATTCACAGTCTGACCCAGCAGTTCTGCTCGTAGGCATCAGCCAAAGCATCTGCCAAAGCAAAGGGAAATCACCGGAAGCCTTGATGTATGAAATGTCCCTCGCAGCCTTCATAAAAGCACGCAAGCAAGAAAAAGACAAATCCACAGGTCGACCAGGATGAACAGTGTTTGTTCATATCCATACAACGCAATACAGCTGCAACGCAGATAAACTTCAGAAACAGCTCACGAAGAGAAAGAAGCCAGATGCAAAAGACCACATGTTCCGTGACTGTATTGTAGGATGCCATTTATATGAAATGTCTGGGAAAGGCAGCTCCTGCAGAGACAGAAAGTAGAGTAGTGGTTGACTGGGGCTGGGGTCAAAGCACAGTGGGGCACAGGTGGGCTGGAAATGTTCTAGAACTACATTGTAGTGATAAGGATACAACTCTGCAAATTTAGTAAAAATCCTTTCATGGGGTGGATTTTATGGTATGCACGTTATACCTAAATAAAACTCTTTTAAAAAAAAGAAAACAGCCTGTCATCGGGGTAACAGGCACACAGGGCAGACAGTAACCTGCCCACCACAGGGTATGTGTGTTATAGGGAGCCATGCGTCTGCCTTGCTCCAAGTGCCCAAGTTCTGAGGGTTTGTATGTTTTCTCAGGTTAGTAAGCTGAAATCACTGAACTACAGTTGTGAAATTTTATGTTACCAAAATGTTTTCCTTTTCCTCCTAGTCAGCCATGTTTTTCTTTTTTTAAATAGACTATTTTTCAGAACAGTTTGAGGTGTGCTTTGAGGTGCTTGAGTGTATTTCATACAGCATGTGCGTAAATAGCGACTGGCATACGGCGTTTTCTTCAACTACTTCTGCTATTCCTTCAAAGGTGATCAGATTGATTGACCTTCCTGGCTTATACATTAAGCAATTAAACAAAAGAAAAAGCAGTGCACCATTATGATGTCCCATCACAACATGTGTGTGCAGCACTAACAGCAAATTACTCACAACTGGATGACTTTTCACACTTTCTGAATTTTAGTTTTTAACCTATAGGGGTTTAAGATTCCTCCATCATTAATGCAGTAAAAACCAATGGAAAAAAAAATGGATCGGTTGAGCAAGCGACATCTCAGGGTCCTGAGGTCAAGCCCCATGTTGGGCATAGAGATCACATCAAAAAAATGGACAAAGGACTTGATTAGACATTCCTCCAAAGAAAACATACATTTTTGTAAAAGCAACCTTGCGTTTCCTACATTTTGTGAATGTAGCAGCTTTGAGAGAACCCTATATATTGCCTCATAGTGTCTAGAGGTTTCAGGTGAGCGCTCAAAAAGGCAGTCACTGAATCTAGAGTCCTATAGTTCTCTTGTGCTTTGCAGGATGTTTTCATGAACATTCGTTTTGTATTTGCACACCTGGAGGGGCAGTGGCGTGAGTGCCCCCTTCGTGCAAATGGGCAGCAGGTGTTTCTGCAACACGGGTGGTGGGTGGGTCCTGTGGCCCTACCCTCACAAGCCCTTCCCGTCTCTCTCTGCAGTGTCTACTCAGGGCACCAGTCCATTCTCATCCCGCCTTCTGAGCTGGAAACCAACCCTGCCTTGTGGCTTCTTGCCGTGAGTCAGTACAAAGTCCGGGATACATTTTGCTCCTATTCAGTGATGGAACTTTGTACCAAGGGGCTGGGCTCGCAGACAGACTCCCTCAAGGTAAGCAGCCTGTCATAGGCCTCAGAGGGCTTTGGGGAGCACGCCCGAGCGTCCTAGGGAAGCACCGTGTCACAGGGCATGGGAAGGGTTACTGAGCTGAGCTCCGTCGCACACAGTCAGAATTAGATGGGATCTTTTCAGTCTCGTGGGACTTAAGAGGAGTGCTATCTTTATGAAATTGTCCAAACACTTTACTTTTCCATTCTATATTAAAAATAGGTCTTCTCATTTCTGTCCAGGGTGCGCTCTTCTGTATCCGTGTTTGTAGTGTACCTCGCTTCCCCAAACCCTGTCCTGTTAAATATTTTATCCAGGACCTTGCTTCTCCTCGTGTTCCTCGCGGCTGCATCTTGCTGTTATTTAAGATGGGTTTGTGATGGCATCCTTGGTCCTCTGATGTAGGATTTCCCCCCCGCACAGACGTCCCAGACAGTCGAATGACGTGGACACACAGAGCCCAGGAAGTGAATGCCCGTGTGGAGTTTGTGTTGCTTGCGTCCACCTGGTTAAGGTCACACCCGGCACCTGGAAGGCTGACCTCTTACCGCTGTTCCTTCTAGGCACGAGGACTGGATTTGTCCCGCGTGCGGACGTGTGTGGTCGTGGCAGAGGAACGGCCTCGGATAGCACTCACCCAGTCATTCTCGAAGCTCTTTAAAGACCTGGGTCTCCACCCGCGGGCCGTGAGCACCTCCTTCGGCTGCCGAGTGAACCTGGCCATTTGCTTGCAGGTGGGTTTCGTCGGGATCAGTAAGTGCTCCCGTCAAAGAGTGACTTTAAGTGACAGGCACTCAGCACAGGGTCATTTTCGTGGCTGATGCGTAGCTATGTTTAGAAGATGCCTTGTAATCAAATGCGTGTGGTTGGTGCACACTTGTTTGGTTGGGATTTTTCTTTTCTTTCTCTTTCTTTTTTATTTTCAGTCTGCATTTGTCAGTAACCATTATTCATAGCTAGCATTCAGAGCTCTTACTCTGTCCTGAAACATTTTCACTTTGGTAACATGAGTAGCAGTTGGCCCAGACCCCTGAATTCAGGCTTTTTAAAGATCGCATAGGACACAAATGTTTCATTGTGGCAAGAAATGCTGCATCTTGAAGTGCTCAGCCTCCCGGGCACAGACAGTAGGATCTGTAGGAGGAATGCCAAGCGCCATCAGCAGGTTCGGGAATTTGCTGCAGTGATGGCATCTAGAAGCAGACATTGCAGTTTCTGGCTGCATTTCCAGCGTGTGAGGCAGCCGCCTGAAGATACCCGCACAGCAACCATGGCTGAAGGACGCTTGCTGTCTTGCGTTTTCTTCATTAGCTGCTTGCCACCATCTTCACTGCTCCTTTCTTTCTTCGAACCCTTAACACGAGCATGTTGATCCGCGGCGATCGCTGCCCAGGGCAGGGCCGCCTGAAAGGAAAGACAGGGGCGTCCCCTTGTGCCCTCCCCACAGCCTTGCCACAGCAAGCAGCCCGGGGCACAGCTGCAGACTTCGGTCCTCAAACAAATTGGCAGGATAAAAACTCCACTCACCCAGGTGCTACAACGGAGCACGACTCAGGTCGTCTCCCGGTCTCCCATGCTGCCCACCCACTGTCCCCCCGTTTCTGACCCCAGAGGCGGTTGCTCATGATTAGCCTGGGGGTGACCTTGGGAAGCTCCCAGGCGGCCACATCCTCACCAGGGCTCCGGGTGCTGGGACTCCTCCATGACGGTGGCCGAGAACGAACTCTTACCATATGACCCATCGGTTGAGATTGCTCCAGAAACATTAGCTACAGAAGGCGTTTTGTTGCTTTCTTATTTTTATTGTTTTGATTTTCTACTACATCCAAAGTGACGTTGCTGTCATGGGCCCTGGTGCTATTTTGGAATCTTGGCAGCATCTTTAATCATTTTCGTACATTTACCATTTTCCACTTGTTTGCTTTATTCTCAACTCATTTTCAGCCAGTTTTCCTTTTTCTGAAACGTCAGTGGTGGAAACTGGCTAGAAATGTCGATGTGTCAGAGAGTCGAGACAAAGTACATCATGATATGGCCGTGCGGGCTCACAGCCACGGGCCATGGTGCTCGGGGCAAGGGCTGCTCTAGGGGGAAGGCACTTCCTGGCTTTGAGGAGGCCGTGGAGCCTGTATCCTGTAATTGATGCAACACCCCACGGTCACACACAGCAGTGTCCCTGCAGCTCCTGGGGACACCCCACAGTCACACACAGCAGTGTCCCTGCAGCTCCTAGGGACACCCCACAGCCACACACAGCAGTGTCCCTGCTGGGCCTGGGGACACCCCACAGTCACACACAGCAGTGTCCCTGCAGCTCCTGGGGACACCCCACAGTCAACAGCAGTGTCCCTGCAGCTCCTGGGGACACCCCACAGTCACACGCAGCAGTGTCCCTGCAGGGCCTGGGGACACTGCACGGTCACACACAGCAGTGTCCCTGCTGGGCCTGGGGACACCCCACGGTCACACACGGCAGTGTCCCTGCAGGGCCTGGGGACACC